CAACACTCAAACCCAACGTAATTGTTATAAGTATTACCTATTCTTTAGGCACTCTGACAAAAATTCAACTTTCACTATTACTACTGCTATTATTATCATTGTTTTTATTATCTTCTTTGACTACATTCTCCATCTCTTTCTTCTTTCCCTTTTCAACCCATTGCTGAATCACTTCTAGAGTTTTTCTTCTAGGATTTGCTTTTCATTGGTAAAAGTTTTTTATTGCAGAAGCAGTAATTCCCTTTCCTTCTTCAAGTAATTGACGAATTTCAGTGGCCATTTATTAAATGAAAATTCGGGATTCAACCAGTCTTTTTGTCAAACAATTGTTTGAAATCATTCCATAGGTTTTCAATTACATGTGAATATTTTTTATCGCCAGTAAGTTGGTTTATTTTATTTTTGAAATGGCTTTTTCTTGGTTCTATTTTATCAATTATTTGATCAATTTTTGAGAAAGTTGATTTTTCGTAAATTTTATAAGTAAAAAACCAAGCAAGAGCTCAATTAACAATTTGCAAACAAGTTCATAGTTGAAAGTAAGCACTTGTTAAATGTTATTGTGAATGAAAAATATTGTAAATATTTATTTTTTAAATTGTTTAACAGTAATTATTTGGAGTTGTTATTTGAATTTTTTTATCTAAATCAGCAATGTTTTATAATAAGGCGGGATTATTTCAATGCGAATGAGAGAAAAAACAAAAATTTATTCTTGAATGTAAAATTTGTTCAAACAACAATGTTTTTTTACTGATAAGCAATGCAATATGATGATTGTTAATTACATTTGCATAAAGGAGAATTTTCTTTGTCAGTAAAAAAATAGATCAATATTGTAATAATAAGAATTATTTCTCTTCTAAGTATTTTTGCTTTTTGTTGGGTAGTACACCTTCATTTTGTTTTCTTTTTCTAAGATTTATTATTTTTCTTTCTTCTTGGTAAACCTCATAGGTAATCCTTTCTTTTCTTAGATAAGCTTCCAGCGTCTGAGTATCAATTATTTTGAAAATATAAGGAGCAATTTTTTCACCTTCAGAATACTTCTAATGGTGCTGTGATTTTTGGGATCTGATATAAATGAGTTTCATATTAACTATTTTTATCTAGAGATAATCCTAAAGCAGATAATATCATTATTGATCCCTAAAATTCCAAATGGTATTATTATGTGGAAATGAAAACTCATTTAAGCAAATCAATTT